GAGGAGAACGTGCGCGCCGTGGTCGCCCTCAACGAGGAGTACGAGACCCGGTTCCTCTGCTGCTCCGCCCAGGTGAGCCCGGGGAGCTTGCCGGGGCCCCGCCGGGAGCGTCTCCTGCCTCTCCGCCTGTCCCCTGAGGCTTTAGCCGCCTCCTGCCGTGATCCTAGCAGCGACCGCCAGGTCCTCTGACAGCGAAGACGTGGCTCCTTCGTACCTAAGCCGACTTTTAAAACCCAGCTCCACTCCTTCCCCTAGCTGCCCCACATCTTTCCAGTTCCCCTTCATGCCCGCAGTCTGATAGGCAGCACTAAAGTTTTCGTACATCTGATTTAAAGGGTTGATGTTCACCTGCTTGCAGCCCCGCTGAATTTCCCAGCTCTCTTAACAGTTTCCGTGTTTTCTTTCAGGAAGAAAAAAAAAAAAAAAAACCACAACCAACCAACCAAAACCCCACAGAAGGTTAACTGATCGAATCTGCTGTGCTCATTTCAGGAATGGGAGGCAATGGGAGTGGAGCAACTGCGTCTCAGCACCGTGGATCTAACTGGAGTCCCCACCTTGGAAAACCTCCGCAAAGGTGTAGAATTCATACTGAAACACCGAGCCTGTGGTAACAGCGTCTATGTGCACTGCAAGGCAGGACGCTCCCGCAGTGCCACCTTGGTGGCAGCATATTTAATTCAAGTAAGAAGGATTCTATGCTAAATGGGATTTATTTTGATACAGTCTGGGTGAATACATCCAACCTTTAGTTTACTTTTGCTCAAAAAGTCTGAGCGTGTACAGGTGCATTGATGTTCCGTGATTTTAGACTTTGGACCGGAGACCCATTTTAAGAGAGGTAGATGGTCAGGCCCCAAACTTACATTGCTGTTTTGTAGACTGTGGCAAACGCTGGGTAAATGAACAAGTAAAACTTAATGTTTGCTGAACTGCTGTCTAAGCTTTCTTTGATAATCTAGTTTATCTTTGCACACCTTGTTCATCTGTGTTTATGATACTGTCAAGATAATGCCTCCTGGCAACGGGATGACAGTGAAGCTGCAATATAGCTGCCGTTGTAAGTAGTCTTTTCGTTCATCTGTACAGTCTGCCTCTGCCAGCTGAGTTAATAGCACAGGCACTGGCAAAGATGTTTGACCTTATGGGAAAGAGAAACTGTTATTGCAACAAAGCTTTGTAACACATGGTCTGATAGTATTTCTTGCTGGTTCTGGCAGATCAGTCAGACTTCAGGAAGCTGCTCAATTTTCTGGCCCATTAGTATAGTAAATTCTCAACAGGTTTTGAATGATTCTGCCTTTCATAATTCTTTCTATGGAGGAATGGATTGAGATGGGAATAACAAGTCATGCATAAAGGTAGGTCCACTGAGGAGATAAATGTCCATTTTTGTTCAGATTTTCTCCTTGGTTAACTGAAATGGCAAGCCTTTCTAAGCTTTTAAACAAATACAATTCAGGATCAAGAGAAGTGACTGGTTTTCAAAGTTCCTCTACAGACTCAACTGGGTAAGCCAGCACCAAGAACAAAATCCCACCTGTCGATTCTTCTGCTGGTGTTATTAAATGTTCCCTGGAGTATTTTCCCTTAGCACTGAAGGGAAAATATTCTAAGTGCTGAAATGCAATGGGAGTACTAGTAAAGTTTTAAGAATCCAAAAACAGCAAGTGGTACTGTTGCTCTGGTCTGGTGGGACTAGGACAGGAAACTATTCACAATGTGATAGAAGCATGGGTGAAATAGAAAATGGAGGTCCCAGGCAGCAAGCATTCCTCTTTTAACGGTGGAACTCATTTCATGAGCTCACATGGACATTCAGGCCCCTCTGAGAGGAACGTGAAGTGAACAGAAGGGGCAAAGCAGCGAGTCTTTTAACAACTCTAACGTTGTCTATAGCTTCCAGGAAGGCTCCGTTAACTGGTGCAGGGATGGAATGGATTTTCACTTGCAGGGTTTCTGCCTTTTCAGGTGCATCACTGGAGCCCTCAGGAAGCAATAGAGGCTATTGCCAAGATCCGTCCTCACATCCTCATTCGGCACAAGCAAGTCCAGGTCCTGGAGACATTTCACAGGAATATGCTCACTAGGACAACTGCATAGTGTCAGTAAGAACTATCAAAATCTCTGTCTCAGCTGCTTTAAAAAAATCCTTATGTTTTAATGATCTATTAAAGACTTAAGCGTTGTATTTCTTGACCATCAATAAAGAAGTTTTTACATAAATCACAGTAAAGGGGAGATTGGGCTGTTTCATTAAAGCTTTCTCTCCTTACGGCTAGTATCTTAGTTCTCTTGGAGCCCCATAGTTGTTCTCTCCCACACACAGTACCAGTGCTGATCCAAACTGCAATCCAAAGGAAGTTCTATAATATTTGCAGCAAAGGAAGAGAAACCTTTGTCTCAGCAGAGACTTTATTCAGATTCTTACCCAAAGGGTTACAGTGCCAACAGAGAGGGGTAGGAGGACATGGTCTTAATTCTGTCTTTCACCAACACTATGATTACTAGTGGGGATTCCCTGTACAATAAAGGAAGCCAACACTCATAAAAACGATCTCCCTCTTTACTCTAGGTGATGACAGAGCAGTAAGCAAGTTCCTGGTTTGTTACCACTCCTCTAGGAGAAGTGCTGAATAATGCAACCTACTAAAGGTCTTGTGGTCAGCTCTGGAATCTATCTGCTGCAGATATTTCTGCCAGTTGCTCCTCCTGCAGTAGGGACACAGGAATGTTTAAATGGCGACATCCCTGGAGGACACAGTGTAGATCTAACTCTGTGACAGTCTCCCAGGCAGTTAAAACTAGCAGTGTGGGACAAGGAGGACATTGTCCATATGCCACAGGATTTGTTAGTGGTGGATTGGTTCCAGGCTAAAAAAAGCCATTTGCTGCAGTCTGGGCCTCAAACTCAAGCAGCTTATCATCAAGGGATCAATATAATAGCATTTAGTCTGTCTGAAATCTAAGATGCAGCAGTTCAATAGTGCTATGTAAAAGAGTAGGCCCACAGCCAGAAAGCCCATACTTCCTCTGCAGAGGTATAGAGGATAGGGTCTTTACTGGGTGAGCTCATTGTAACTGGGACCAGAGATGAGGGTGGTGGGTGCCTCTCAGCTGCGCAGCAGAACAGCGTTGCTGCCCTTCCTATCACAGCCTGGTTTCCCCACTTAGGCCAGGACAAACTGCAGGTTAGTGAGCAGCACTTTGATGCCGCTTGTGACTGTTACAACAGAGGTGGCTGGGTTAAGTTTAAAAGTATTTGCATCACCCTTTTTATAGCGGTCGCGAAAGACATAGATGCTGCCATTGCAGCTGGCGATTTTCCAGAGGGATGGTACCGAGCTCCAGGCATCTGGCAGGCAGAGCCGGGTGAAGCTATCCAGCAGAGGATTATAGCAGAGCAGCGAATCCCCCTCGGCTACGATGAACACCACATCCTTGTGCACAGCAGCATGCATGCGCCCGGCAAAAGGCAGTACGTATGGTTTCACGTGGCACTTCTCTGTGTTGGTATCGTAGCACTGAATTAGCCGAGAGGGCTTGGTGAAGAAGTCCAAGTCATTTTCCTCCCCACCCAGCAGGTAAATGACACCATTAAGGTTTACACCTGCAGCTCCAGAGACGGCCACTTCCAACTGGCTGGTCTCTGTCCAGACATTGTCTCGTACTCTGTAGTAGATGACGGCATTAGAGAGAGTGTCCTGTAGAGTTTTCCCCCCCAGCGAATAGATTGCATCCTTGCTCGGCACAGAGACAAGGGTGTGTTGGAGCCGGTCACGGGGCAGAGGGGCACACCATTCCCAGTCTATGGTCGCATTGTTGCATTTCCACATGCGTCGTGGAATGGAGCCACCGACGACATATAGGTCGCTCCCATGCTTGCAGGCTGCAGTGATCTGGTGACACAAGCTGTTCTGGCCACTCACGCTTATGGAGTCATCATCAGCGCAATGCAGAGAGACGGCGAGTGAATGTGTACGTGACGACTCCTTTCCAATCAGGTAAATGTGAACATTTTCTCCAATCACCTGAGAGAAGGAAGAATGTGTCAGGAGAATTGGACCTGTTTACACAAATATCAGTGATGCCTAAGACTGAATTTTTCGCCTTAGCACCCACCTTTGGGCCTGAGGTGTGTGACCTGCTTCCCAAGTGCTGCCACCCTACAGCGTTAAGGACTCGGAGCCTCCAAACCTTTCCAAGACACCAGTGGTTATCTGACATAGCAGAGTGTCTGCGGTTTAGGTAAGGGCTGGTTACATCACTGATGGAGTAGAGTTATTATAAAGGGAATGCCAAACTCAGATTTCTGAATGGTCTCTTTGGTAACGGAGCATCTGGTAAAATAAGTCATTTGTGGCATTGCTCCAATCACTAGTGAAAGCAGCCTCAGGTTAAATTAAAAAAGCTGTCAGCATGGTTGCTATTTATGACAATGAAAGTATTCCTCATGCAAGCACCACGAATTTCAATGGCACTTGTGCTTTGTGACTCTCAAGTCACACCTGTGAGCAGAACACCGTGCCTTGGGAAGTACGACACCAATCCCGGAACAGAAGGTCATTTTATACCTTCAGACTTGATCGCAGCGTCTCTGAAAAGCCCGCTCGCTCCTCCTTGTTGAAGTTGATCCAGGTTTCTATGGCAACTGTTGGATTCTGAGAACATGGAACACCATCTGCGGTTTGGGGACAGAAAGGCATTTATGATATCTAGACAAAGGTGTATGTGCTCAGGAACATCCTTTTCCTGTGAATTCCTCCCCCCAGTCCCACCACAAACCCTACTTTCTCAAGAGGTAAAAAAACCCCAAAAGATACAGAGATTTTGGCAGGCATGATCAGTGGTGCCAGCCAGACATCTACAAGAAATTAGTCTGGATAAATAGCAGAAGACAGAGCTGCCAGATCTTAAGCACTTTGGATGAGTTTCAATAAAGGAACCTATATCCAAGAGAAAGAGGGCAGGAAAGAGAACTTACATGCTTTGTGGTGATAAAAAGTATTTTCTTATTTAAACATTCAGGCAAAAAGATTCTCCTGTTTGAGCTGCCTTTCTTTCTGGGTGGTCCTAGAAACCTACCTAGCAGAAGTCACCTGCAGAAATTTTCCTTCTCTGAGCACCGTCAGGCAGCTGACCCTCAAGACTGAACATCTGGTGTTGCTGCCATCCTCTCAACATTTGGTAATCCCCAGCGAGCTACTATAGCTCTCCTTAGCAGAGTGACAGTAGGAAACACTCAACAGACGGCACCTGATTTCAATTGGTTTCCAGACATAATTGGAAGCTTGGGTTATACCAAAAACTATTGCATCACTGTCATCAGTACGTTACCTAGAAGATTTTACGTATTTACTTCCAGTTTGAAAGCCAGCAATTATGCCTGTATTCACCGAGAGGCCTCCCTATGAAGGCTCTCTGGTTTTGTAGTCTGCTCACATGACAAACCCTGATTCAATGATGCTGAAGGCATCAGGCAAATTCCAACACTTTATACTGGAAGGGAGGAGAAAAAGTGTAGAACAAAAGCAGGTATTTCAACTCTTTATTAGTAAAAGGGATTTCCATAAGTTAAATGAAAAAACTTTGATTTTGAGATGGATCCTAGAGTACAGCAAAAAGTAAGCTTAATAAATTACTATTTCATGAAATTCATTTTAATCCTTGCCACTAACAGCTTCCTCTATTTAATTCTCCATTAACTAAACAAAGATGCAGGAATTGCAAAAGTAAAAGATTTTCCCTACCAGCAGGAGTATATTTCAGATTTGAATCTATTTTATGAGCTAAGTTTTGGTATAAATACTGAGTAATGTCATTCTATATACGGAAATAGATAATGCATGGGAAAGAAGTTTTGTTGAGCAATTGTTTTAATTTAGGACAACAAACACTAAAGGCCATAGTCCTAAAACTACAGTTAACACATGGAATCGCTAAGAAGTTAAGGGTGATTGACCCCCATAGGTTTATTTCATGATTTTATACATTTTTTTTTAAATAAACTCAATTCAAAATCTTTAACTAGATAGTTATCAAATTTACTCTAATTTTATCATTGTTTTTTTGATCTGTCAGTACATATTCTCAATAGGTTTTTGACTGTGAATCTATTTAGATCTAATAGAGATAACACAATGCAACATATGTAAAGACTCTCATATGCATAGCATCCACTTTCAAGGCTATTTTAAGTCTTGTGGACAGATTTGCCAGTATCCCAAAGAATCCAGTCATGGCAGGTTTATTGTAACAGCATATAAAACACATGACACACAAAGTATTTACTCATTTACGAAATTATTTAATTAAAGCAAGGAAGGGGCAATCTCTCTGGCCCCAAGTCCAGCACATCTGAATGTATGAGCTGCTTCTACATTCTTGCTTCCTCTTGCGATGATACATAATATGCACAAAAATAGAGTTGTGACTGCAGCATCACAGAGAGGTTTTCAAGTACTGGCTGCACCTACTAGGGCAGCAGAAAATCTTAAGGATTGGTGGCAGGTGGACTAAGTTTTTGATGTGTTCACACATCCTTCACAACACTGAGTCATTGCATCCATTACTGTGTAAGGCTATTACCTTTACAAGAAGGGTAATTACTGTCTTACCTAAGATGTTACAATGCCTCTGTTTCAGTCAGCTGAGTGTCTAGCCTAAATAATCCTAACAATTATATACAATTAATAACTCTAACATAGTCTAAAAATATGGCTTGTGCTCAAGCCTTCTTACAAATGTTGAGCTGTTGTATTACTATGTTAAACGATTACAAACTAAAGAAAAAAAAGACTTTCATAATACGTTAATTTCTGGTAAGGCTTCTTTTACTTTTAATGCAAACAAAAATACAACAAATTGTTGAAAGTTACTAGGTTATGTTTAAAAAAACCCCATGTAATACTTCTGACCTGTTGACTCAGGGACTGCTGGGAATTACCAGCATCCCCTGTGTTCCTTTTCCATAGCTTAGATACTTCATGTCCAGTAACAATTAATAGGTTGGGTTTTTTTTCTGATTAAGATATCCAGAATGTTTTGCTTTGCTTAACTTAGCTAAGCCTCTGAACAGACAGTGATTATGAAAGCTCGGATCTTTCCATCTTTTGATCTATTTTGTTCAATCCCTGACAGGGTCTCTAAAAGTCTCAGGAACTCCTTACCTGTAAGGATGTCTGTCAGCAGGCGGAGGGGCAGGTGTAAGAACTCCTCTGTGTCTTG